TAAAAATACGAATTTAAAAATGATTATATTTTATTAATTTACATTACGTTTGGTATTACAGTTCAAACTTATTTAATTTAAAAAAGTACATTATAACCAAACGATTAATTTAATTCAGTAATTGTAATTAAATAATTACAAAATCTACAAATTACTATTTTAAAATATAATTATTCATGTTTTTTGGGAACTTGTAGTCCCACCTCCGTTTTTATAGAATAAGGTTTTTATTTTATTTTATTTTGTATTTGATATGTTAATTTTCATATAATTTTATAGTTCAGGATAATGGTTTAATTTGAGCTGGTCTTTTTCTGAGAACTTTAATCCGGTCCAAAGACCGGACCTTGGCATTCACTATAAAAAAATACAAATTAAATTCAACCTAAGCTTAAAGTTTTTACTTATAATTTTTTTGCTTTAAATTCTAAGTTTTTATTTAGTTTGTTGTGGTATCAAATCAAACATATTTTATTTTTATTAAAATAAAAATATAGATTTATAAATTTTAAATTAAATATAATATGTTATAACATGATTTATTTTTCTTACCTTTTATAATCATTTTTATAAAAAAAATTAAAATGAATATATTCTTATTATATCGGGGAAGGTGGTATATTCTATAATATGTGGTATGAGTTTTTTTATTAAATCATCATCTTAATTTTTTTATTATTCTAAAATTTGTGTCATCTTAATTAAATATAATTGGAATGGAAAGAAAAAAAAATATATTTAATTCTTTAGAAGATGTTATAAATGGAAAATAAAAATTAGATAATTGATTTATTTGATAAAACATTTCGCATATCATCCCTCAATTATAAAAGTGTTATTTTTAAAAACATCATTCTTGGGCCACATAGTTTAACAAATTATAACAAGGACAGTTTATAATTTTTACATAAAAAACATTTAATATATTTATTTTGGGCTGTGGCCTAAATATATTTAGAAAATCTCAAATATATAAATTTTCGTAATTTATAAAATTATAAATTTTTAAAGTTTTGCAAATTTTAAAATTTATAATTCTTACTAAATTGTTTTATACATCCCATTAATTTTAAATAATTTCCAATTTGATTTCTTATTACAATTTGAAAAAAAAATATATAAATTAATATTACTCACTTATTTTTGTAAAAATTTTCACAACAAAATTTATTAATTTCTAGATTAATAAATTATCGTAATTAGAAAAAATGATTTAGACCACAATTTAATTTATACATTAAAAATAGCTTATTTTCCCTTTTTCGTAGGTAGGGTTAACAATATCATCATTAAATTTAGAGTCCTGCATCGGATCTATTTTTTCAGTTTAAATCCGATCCGAGAAAAAAATTTTTGTCCCTATCTATCCAATCTGAGAAAATATTTTTTAAAGATCCGTTTCCCAATCTAATTTTTTTTTCCTGAATTTTTAAGCGCTGATATTAAACAATTTTGTTTATATTCATGAAAATAATATTCACTAAAAAAACAGTAGAAAATTAAATAAAAAATTTTGTTAAGACCCGATTCCGGTTCAAAATAAGTTTTAAAATCAAAGTCTAAATCTGATCCAGTCTGAAATAGCACATAGATATTTTCTCTTTGAGCAGTCTACAACATAGTATTGGGTTAAAATTTTGGGTTCATACACCCCAAATAAGTTAAAGCTCTAAATAAAACCGAATCTCGGAATGAGCCTTAAAAAAATAAGATAAAAATTTAGGGCTGACCGTCAAAAATTTACCCCATCTTTTGTTAAACTTTAAATAAATAATATATTTAATAGCTATATTTCACTTTTATGTTAAATTAATATCAGAGTTATGCAGAGGTACTTATTAGATGGCCAGGCTCATGTTTGAAAAAAAGATAAATTCTTTTAAGGCCCAGCCCGGATTTAAAATTTTTTAAATTTTCAATATTGGTCGCCCAATATTTTTTGAAAGATATTGTATTTTTTGGCCATCTTCCGCTTTTTTTTTTGATTATTTCCACTCGGTCCTGAATCTTTAAAATTATGTTCGTTTTTAATAATTTCGACTTTTATTTCCTAAAATATTTAAGGGAAATTCAAATTACAAGCCCATTAAATACTCCATTATATGATTTTTTAGCATAAAAAAAAATTAATATTTTAGGCCCAGTCAAGAGTTGATTTTCTCAATAAATTGGAAAAATGTTTTGTATAATTTTAAAATAGTGATTAACTAATCAATTGGCTGAAAAAATATTTTAAGTATAAAATTTTAAATTATGTATTTTTAAATTTGGTATAACAAACTTCAATATTCTATTGAAACGTAAAATATTATCCATATTTCCTGATAAATTTGATTAATTTATGAGTAATATAGTGCGCACAAATTTAGCGTTTCAAAACGCAAATAATACATTTTAAATGCACTCGTTTAAATTGAACAATATTTTTTTTTGTTTTTAATTTAGACGTTTCATATTAAAAAAATAAAAATTAACGGTTCAATTTAAACATAGCTGCGTAAACGTTTTTTATTTGCTTTTTGATACGCTGCGTTGAAACGTTCAATTTGTTTTTATGGTAAAAAAATAATATTATAAATCAAAAAAATATATATTTATTGAAGAGAGAAATTTGTTATTGATTTAACCAAAATCAAAATAATTAAATTATTAACGATCGAGAAAACTCCCATTATATTCACAAATTTTTAATCAACCTCAACATAAAGAAAGGTGGTCGATATCAAATATTATGGTTAAAAAAGTATGATTTTTTGCAGAATCATACTAAATCATTAAGGTGACCAAAAAAAATATCTGCCACGAAATGGAAACATATAATTGCCTTTTTTATAAATATTTTTATAAAGAATTTTAAATCCATATATAAAATTCACAACAGAATATTTTTCCAAAGAATTAGCATATATATATCCAAGTAAGAAATATTACTTCTAGATTAAGGTAATTTTTGCATAGCCCTCTACTAACACTGCGGGGGAAGGGGGGTCATACAATTGCGTTATCGAAATTTCAAGGGGTTAACTGGTTGTATCCTCTTAGTTATCATACATGCTCAGTATATCTATTTTATACAGATCATTTAATTAGTCGTGGATGGGGGGGGGCTCAGCATCATTAGTTGGAGGGTTCTAGAGGGCACTGGACCATAGCAATTAAATTGATCATTAAAATTTATTCTTTCCAATATTGTATTGGAGCTACATTATTACCCTTTTCCTAAAAAGCTTAGGGTGGTTGGAGGTCTCCTAAAAGGAGATCTGAATCCTTAATTACTTTAAATTTGAAACCTTTAAAAGCCAAATTATTGACTACGCCATTGATAATATTGCATCTAATGCTCAAGTTTTTAAAAATTGACCTTTTAAAGAGAAATGTTTTTAAAATTATTGTTATACTAAAAATATTCTACTATTGAAATCAATTAAATTTTAATTTATCGTGTCCTAATTTAAGGATTAATAAAAAAATTATATATATATAATGTTTAATTTTAATATTTTTTTGCTAAAAAATATATATTATTAAATATATTTTTCTTTCCTTTTGTTTATATAAAAACTTATTAAATGTCAAAATCATACCAAGAAAAGAGTGAAAAGTATTTTATAAAAAAGTATAATCTTAAATGATATGATATATTAAATTTTTATTTTATTAAACAACTCTTGTTATATTTATTGTATTTTTTATATTTATTTTGGAAAAAGTGTCATTTTTTTATTAATAATAATTTTTACTTTATCTCCAGATTTTGAAAGAAGTTATATAAATACACGATATAGTATATATTATATATCTTTTTATTTTTAAAAAAAAATGACAATTTTGTCATATTCTATTTATTTAACGTTTTTTAAATAAGAAAAAAGGGGGGTTTGAAACGGGTTTCAAATTTAACATTTGTCTATAAATAGATTAAGAGGATTTGTTTCTGCAACATTAGTAGTTTTTATCTATGCTAGAAAATTAAGTAATTATTTAGACGTCGTAAAAACGTCATTCTCCTGTTAAACACAATTTTGATTTTTTCCTTATTTAGCCCTAGTTCCATTGGTATAAAAGAAAGGTTGAAGAAGCTCAAAAATAGGAAACTTTCGATAAGAATGGAATATAAATAAATATGATTGAAAAAACCAGTTGTTTGTACTGAAAAAATGACTAGATTTTAACTGGCGGTATGAAATTAGAGATCCCTATTTATTTAAAGTTAATTATTTTGTTTTAACTAAAATTCGGAATGAATCATTTAAATTTGGTTATACTTTTTTAATAGTTATAGTAATCATGTTTAATAGTTCTTTATTTTATTTTGACTATGTTCAGATATGAATGTTAGAGATTGGAACGGAATTTTTTTTTAACTGTGATTGTTCAAGAAAGGAAAGTTTTCATATTTTCAAAACTTCCAAACATGAACAAACTTTCTTTCAGCACGAATAGCATTTATCTTAAAAAGTTTGACAAGAATCTTTGAAAATTATTTTTAAAGAAGTGAAATCTTGATCAAATTTAATCTAAAAATGCCAAAATCTTAATACGTAAATCTTTTGCAATTTTCATGTACAAAAAATCTTTTAAGGTGAAATCACAATATTGTATTTCTAACCTATTTTAAATCAATTCGATTCTATCTATATTTTTAATGATTAATTTCAAAATAATTTTCTCGATTCATTAACCTGGAATTAATTTATGAATATATAAATATTATCATGTATTCGGTTATTAAAAGATTTTTTGTCAGTAGTTGTCAGTAGTCTTGTTAAACAGCAAGATTCAGGCGATTTTTAAAACGGCTAAATCAAGATTTTATTTCAAAACACCATTATCTTAGCATCGAAGTCTTGTCAATAAATGCTCAAACCTTTCTGTCTGCAAAATCTCTAAGCTTGCATAATTTATTTTGGGCTAAGATCTAATGTTAGCGGAGTCATTGTAATACGTTTAAACCTTAGAATCAAATATTATAATGCCAACTTTATTTTTTTAATTTTTAGATTAGCTTTTTCTCGACTAGCCCTGAATTAAGTAACAAGGAGAGATTTGAATATTTTTCCAGGACAGTTCCTTCCGACGAATATCAAGCATTGGCTATGATAGAATTAATCAAATTATTCAATTGGTCATACATATCTGTCATATATGAGGAATCCAATTATGGAGAAAGAGTGAATTAAATCATTTTAAATGCATTTTAAAAAATTTGGCTTTCTTGTAATGTATATTAGCGGTTTGCCTATCCCAGTCCGGCCGCCTATTTTTTTTTTAAAAAAAATTCGGTTATACAAATAGTAAGGATAGGTTCTATCAAATTAAGATTTAAATCCTTAATTAAAATCACTATTTTATGGGGCTTAATATTTCTTTTAAAAAATTAGGCCATAAGTTTAAATTTTGATATCTGCAAGAAACAAGGCGCCAATAATTTTTATTTATAGAATATTTATTTTTCCCGAAAAGCCCGTTTCGAAATAAAAATTATTTGTCAGCCCGGCCCAAAATTTCGTTCGGAATCGGTTCTGTTTTTAAAAAAAGGCCAGGCTTGTAAAATTAGGCCCGCTGCAGATCACCTGTATATCCAATCCATCATTTTTTAACTTTTATATGAGGAATTAAAAATAATTCAAATTATAGGATAAATGAGTTTAAGGTTTAAATAGGTAGCGAATATTTTTTAAAGCCCCAATTTAAAAAAAAAAGAAAATTATATATACTTATTTATTATCTTAATAAATTTATCAGAATTTTTATATAGTTTCCAATAATATTCCAATATTATACTAAATATTTTAAGGCCTTTACAGTGATTGAAGAGCAATTGGATAGGAACCACATATGCATAGCTGTAAAAGAAAAATTGACAAAAGATTCAGGCGTAGCCAAAGAGAATCAATATGACGTTATAGTGCGAAAATTACTGCAAAAGAGCAATGCTAAAGGTTATTATTCATAGATATTTATTATGAAAGAAATATTAATAATATAGGAATCATATATTCCCTATTTCTGATAGATTACAGAATAGTACTAAATCATAAATATTTTTATTTAAATAAATGTTTTAAAATTAAAGATTGGTCAATGGCATTGATGTAGCCAGGATTTTTCTAAGGAATACTTTTGGATAAAACTTTTCCTAAAATTTTATCGGAAGGATTTTTTTTATAAAAAATTTTCTTTCTGAAAATTTTCAGTCATTATTTTATTTTAAAAAATTATCAATTTATATCACTTTTTTTGTAAGTGAGCAGTGATTTAGCCATTTTAAGTATAATCAAGTAAAATGGCTTAGTGGCTACTCGCTTATCGTATGGAGATAATTTTTTATTAACTTATAATGAACTTTCTTTCTTTTTTTTACGGAAATTTGCAAATTCCCTAAGAGGGAAAAGAGCCCCACGTCCTCTCTTAGCTAAATCTATGCCTAATGCTAAAAATAAATTTGATAAAAGTTATCTAATCTCATTTTTATCAAACAGACCAATCCGAGTTTCAATCATGAGATTGTTAAAAAGTTCCTTTTTTTACAAGGGCTTGCTTTTAATTTTAATTTTAAAAGAATAGAATCAAACCCAGTTTATCTTAAAATAAAGCAGCGAACTCTAACTCTCTAACTCTCTATACAACATTACTCAATCATAACATACAGGTGTCATTATATACGGGTCGGATCAAGAGGTAGGCATGCTTATGGCCGCAGTGAGAAGACAGAGGGCCACGGGAAAGTTTATGTGGATAGGTTCTGATGGGTGGTCCGCAAGGGATATAGTGACCGCAGGCAGGGAAGCGGAAGTGGAAGGAACTGTTTCTGTACAACCGTTGGCTAACCCCATAGCTGCATTTCAAGATCATTTTTTGAATTTGACTGTGGCAGAACACGGTAGGAGAGATCCCTGGTTGTATGAAGTATGGGAGAAATATTTTGAGTGTCGGTTTCCCAATACAGATAAAACCTACGAGAATCAGATTGTAATTTATATTTTTTTTGAGATAAAATATGTATATTATTTATATAAGTAAATATAAAATATTCTAGGCCTGCGAGCAGTATTAAAGCCTTCTAGAGAACTTTAATTTATTTTTATCTCACTAATGCTCAATTTAAATTAAGTTATATCAATTAAACCAGTTGAAAAAATCTCATGATGGTTTAAAACATTCATTTACTTCTCATGTTTCGATTTCATTTTGAAACCATTTTACAATATAAATGCCTCTTAAAATTGAATATTTAGAATGAGCAAATGGGTGGGCCAAAATATTGGTATTTTTGCAGGCCTTAAATAAATTTGGCATCTCCTTTCCTATTGAATTCTTTTAAAAAACGAAACCTTATCTCATAAAAATCTATAAGTACGAATTTTATTTAACATAGATTTTAGCCTATCTTATTGGTTAATTTTTTTCAAACCCCTAACAGGTAAACCCTCAGTGGAATAGAAAATTGTGCACAGGTAAGGAGTCCATGAGATCGCTTCTACCTCCCTATGGAAACATCAAGATGGAAGATCAATTACAATTCGTAAGTGATGCTGTTTTGGCATTCGCATATGCTTTCAGTGATATGCATAAGGATCTGTGCGGCGGTGTACCAGGTTTGTGCGAAAAAATGGACCCACCCTCTGGGCCCTTAACTCTAAATTACATCAGAAAAGTCAAATTTACAGGTATAATATTGATATTAATTAATTTTACTCTCATAATGTGAACTTTACTTAATTCCCAACAATTTATGTTGAACAAATTATAGTAGTAGATAAAAATAGAAGGTTAGGCCTGAATTCTAAAAATCATTATCAGTTTTATTATATTGCCATAGTATTTAAAAATATTTCAATTCTATCCTTTTTCGATAGATTATAATGATTATTGAAAAATTTATTTATTTTTAAATGATAATTTTTTGATAGTAATTTTTTTTTTAAATTTTAAGTTTCGGTCTTAAAATTTCTATTAAAATTTTTATGCTTAATTAAATTTGATTACTCCTCCTTGTCAAAAATATCAAAATATAAATATAAATTTGATCAAAATTTTAATATTATACAAAATAATTTTAATAGCAAATCTTAAGTTTTATAAATCTATATACTTAATTTTTAAAAATTACTATTTGTCAGGTAAAATTGGTAAATGTCAAATAATTAAATATTGGGTATTCTGAGTGTCCATAAAAATAATAGGTTATAAACTTCAACGTATTAAAAATTAAAGAATTCAATTTATAATATTAAATTAGCCTGATCTGAAGCCCAAAAAATAAATTTGGGCCGAGTAAGTTTTGCAAAATATTTTTAGGCGGCGCCAGACAACTTATGCAAAATATCTTAAGGATCAGGCTAGAGTTTCACAGATCTTTTAAGCTTAATTAGGCAAATTTATGTTTTCTTTCATAAAAAAAATTACGGACCGGACAACTTGTAAAAACATGTTTTGCGGGTCTATTCGAGCAGGCCGTGCTGATCTATAATTTAATTAATAAAGAAATAATATTAAAAATAATAATTCATATACTTTAAGGTCTATCTGGTGACAATTTCGAGTTTTTACCTAACGGAGATGGACCACCTCGTTACAACATCCTTCATTTTAAACAAGTAGCTCCAGGTATTTATAAATGGGTCAAGGTCGGAAAATACGTCGACAAGGTATTGAAGGTAAACTTGTCAGAAATTAGATATCATTGGGACAGTCCTTCTCCACCCGAATCGGTATGCAGTAAACCTTGTAATAGAGGGGAAGCGAAAAGAGTTCAGGGTGACAACAAGTAAATACTAAATCTAGCAAAAGATATATTCAAAGGCAGTTAATTGTTTTTTTTTTTCAAAACATTAATTGAAACAGGTTTATCATGATCGGTTCTATAATTATGATTTATTTAAATTATAATATAAAAAGATGTTGTTGGCTGTGCGTAGCTTGTTCACCTTATCAAATTTTGGTCCCGACAGTAACGCTCGCTACGGCCCATACATCAAATCCTTTTATTACCCCCTCTGCAGGTCAGAATGGAATTGAAGAACTTCATACCTCTAGTATCAATGTAACTTCTTTGATCATCAATGCCACATCCATTAATGCTAACAACACTTACAATAATGGAACATCTCAAATTCCTCCTTATGTGATTGAATCAACTCATTGTGTAGACTGTGAGTTAGGATTCTTGCCAGAACCTCTGTATTTAAACCGGTGTTTACCTATCCCGGATGTTTACATGTCTTACTCGAATCCCTTGGCTATGGGAGCACTTTGCTTTTCATGTATGGGCATGATATGTGCTCTTTTTGTGTTGGGAATTTTCATAAGATTTTGTCAAACTCCCGTGGTAAAGGCCTCTGGGCGGGAACTCAGTTTCGCCCTATTAATAGGCATAATATGTTGTTACGGAGTTACAATCCTACTGGTAGCAAAACCTGCTTCTTCTGCGCTTTGTGGGGTTACATTTGTTTGCGTTGGTATATTTTTTTCTTTGTGCTATGCCGCAATTCTAACCAAAACAAACCGAATAGCCCGCATATTTAACAGTGGAAAGCGCACAAGTAAAAGGCCAACTCTCATCTCTCCAAAATCACAAATATGCATATGCAGTTTACTAGTAGCAGTGCAATTAGCTATAATGGTGGTAAAGCTGGTTATGACTCCACCGCGGGCTATTCATAATTATCCCACACGTACGATAAGTCAGCTCGTCTGTTCCACAAGCCTAGATTCTTCTTATTTGATATGCTTGGCTTACCCGTTATTACTCATTCTTGTATGCACGGTGTACGCCGTTTTAACCCGCAAAATTCCAGAGGCCTTTAACGAGAGCAAGTACATAGGCTTCACAATGTACACAACTTGCATTATATGGCTGGCTTTCGTACCCATCTATATCATAACGGCCAATAATATACCACTTCGAATAACAACCATATGTGTATCAGTAAGTCTTAGCGCTACCACAGCTTTGTGTTGCCTTTTTACCCACAAGCTTTATATTATAATTCTCCACCCCGAACGCAACGTTCGTCAAACCATGATGACAGGAGCAACTAAATATGGCGGGACTAAATCAGCTAATAATACTACAGGCGGTATGGGAACCGGAGGTGGAACCAGTTCTCAACTTCTATCATCTACGACAAATCAAACACAGCCACCTATTCCACTCCACGTGGCTAACCAACACAATCTTATATCTATGAGCGCTTTAAGTGCTGCAACTGCTACTACTCCAATAAGTACGTATAGTAGAATTGATTCGGGAACCCAATCCGATGGTATGTTAATCCATTTTAAATTAATGTTATAATATGAAAACTCCTAGAAGTCTTAAAACTTATGATTTTCGAATTTATTTTTACATATTATTATTAAATTTACCCCAGATTTGGAGTTGACGAACAAGCTAAGAGGTGCTGATTCAATGACCAGTTGTTACAGCAGTAGCAACAAGTCTTCAACAGGAACTCAAACAATATTTGAGGATAATTCTGATGAGGAAGAAAATGCTTCGGAACAAGAAAATGGAGAAGATGTTGAGGGAGAGAAAGAAGGAGAAATCGAAAGAATATCGGGGAGTGAAAACGAAGAAACGGGTCCTCTAAATGGAATTGACGTGGATTTGTTTTCTACTGCCGAAGATTTGAGACGCCGGAAAAGCAGTACTAAAAACGGAATACCATACCTAAAGAGTGGTATGGCACCCTCTAGCGATAAGAAAGATCGTAAAAGAAGCAGCACCTCAGTTTACAAATATGGAGAATTGTTGCAAGGAGATGTGCAGTTATAAAAAAATGTTAATTTATATAAAATTATTATAATTAATGATTTATATAATTCCGGAGTTGGAATATAAATTAAATTTAATAATTTACACCAAACTAAGGTTTTGATAAACTCTCAGCCAAAAAAAATTATAGCCAAACATAAAGAATATGCAATATATAGTTGTGAATATTTTTTTAATATCCATGTCTTCCTATGCATGTTTTTTTTAAATGTTTATAAATGATGTTTAATATGTAAATTCTAATATGCATTGTACATAGTTGTATCTTAACCGACCAAATTAAATCGTGCTATTTACTTTTTGCAAGTTGTAAACATATTTTTATATTGTTTTTTATAAAATCAATTTTTAAGAAATTTGGTGCAAATAATAATTCTTCCAAAGAAATTAATGTACCTTACCTATACTGGCAGGAATACTTGATAGCATTAAAGTATAAGCCAAAATATAAAAGTTATTACGTTTCTATAATTTACTATTAGTATATATAATCAAATTTATTTAATTATGTGTATAAATGCATTGAATCCAGTCCATATTAGATGCTCGTGTTTTAATTTGATTGTTACATTATGGTTAAAGGTATATATATATATTATTAACATTCCTTTAATATGTATATTATTTAATTTTTTTCTTAAATATAAATTTAATAATAAATTTTGCAACAATATATAAATTTATTTGTTTAGAAGATATAATAACAAATATTTTTTTGTATTATATTTATAAAGCTATTTAATAATTCCATGTGCAATCACTTTATTTTATTTTTTTCTCCAGATATCTAATTTTAAATATTTTCAAGTTTTATATGTAATCAACATATAGGATTTATATAAAGTAAACTGCCGATTCCTATAATCAGAGCCATAGGCATAAATTAGAGCTTCTATTATTGAATTTTTTTATTAAAATTATTGAGTTTCCGCTTATATTTTCTTATCTTTTTATAATTGATCTAATAATTGTCAACATTAAAATCGCACTTTTGTTCAAATTTGTTTATTGGATAAAATGGGATTATCAACCTAAATATGAAGAATATAAATTAGTTTAAAATAATACCTTCATGGGCAAAGAATAATTGTTGTTGCACAGGAATTTGTAAACCCCCCTAGATTAATAAAGATTTATCCAGTCTTCTTTTGATTCCTATCCCGTTTGCCCCCCCCCACCCTGGCTTCTTCCTACACCTCACTCAATTAATTTTACGATCTTCGTCATACCATCCCCTTAAATGTAGCACATTTCTTTACAAGTGACCTGGTATTGAATAATATTTTTCTATAACCCTGGCTAGAATTTTAAAATTATTCTAGACTGTAGTTCTGGGTGGAATTTGATTTATATATTTCTTTGATGAAATAGCCACAAAATTTAGGCTCATTTAACTTTTATTTTTACTACCTTAAAAAAATTAAATAATATTTTTATTAGCCTATAAAAATATATATAACGGGGAAGCAAATTTAAAACTTCTTATTTTTTATTATAAATAGAAGAGTAAAATCATTCTTATAAAATATATTTAAAAATAAACTGGGGAACTAAATATAAAATTCTTTAATAAATAAAGAGAAAATCATGTGAACGTTTTGTGAATTTTATGTTTAAAAAATAAGCGTTAGGGAAATAAAATAAAAATGCTTCTTTTTTTAATAAATAAAAGGGAAGATTTTGTTAAATACTTTTATCTTTTTTTTTTATTTAAAAAGTTTTTATTTTTTAAAAATAATGATTAATTAAAATGTATAACGATTGTAATAGTGTTAATATATTTTAACTCAAACAAATTTACAAAATTTGGAAATATGATCAAAACTTTTTATCCTATAATTGGTTCAAACAACCACAGATGCAGATTTAAAAATAATAAAAAGTTATTGTAGAAATAATAGATTATCTCTATCATTGATCTTAATTGAATACAAGTAATTACCATTTACTTTTATAATTTAATCATCGAGTATTTTATTCAAATAGCAAAGACAAATTCCGCTCATTAATTCATACATTTTATCAGGTTTTGTAAATTAAAAAACTTCATACTTAGTCACTGAGTATCAGAGTTGTTAAAAGATACTTTTTAAATGGATCTAGATACAGATACATCGTCTAAAATAATATCTAGATACAGATATATTAATCAAAAATTTATCTAGATACAGATACAGATACCACATTTTTATATCTAGATACTTGTATCTAGATCCTATAACAACTCTGCTGAGTATATATGAATTTTTTTCCTATTTTCTTAGTGACTTTTTTTATTTATACTGATTGACAAAATAGATATTTAAACTAAAATATTTGTTATTTAAGCATTACACATAAGCTTAAACTTTAGTTCTTTTAAAAGTGTGTTAAACTTCATGCCGAGATTGTCCCTTAATATGAGTCAGATTCGTATCAGATTTTTGAAAATATAACTCTATTCAAAATATAATGGGATTTCAACTATATTACTTCTACTTTTATTTAAACAGAAAAGAACCAATTTAAAATATGCTTCCAGAAGTTGTGTGACTTCACGCTTAAGGTGTAAATTCGTAGTTTTTATCTGGCTTAATAAACTTTTTTTTATGCGAGTCACAATTGATGAAAGAATTATAAGGTATAAAATATTAGCGTAAACAAAATATTTATAACATAATTAAGTGGGGTACATTAAATAATATTATTTTAACTGGATAAAAACAGTTAGTGCCATAAAATTTATGATTTAGAAGTAATTCAAATAAGAGAATTTTAATGAAGAGGCTTTAAACTATGCACATATCGCCCATCTAATTGAAACTTATTTTCTTATTTTAAAATAAATTTTCCCTCCTTTAAATCACATACAATAAGAATACAGCATACCAATAAAGTACTACTTATGGCTTACTATGAATGTAAATAAGGGTTTCCAAAAGATTAACTCATTTCACAACTAAAGCATGGCATTATCGCTTTTATTTTGTTTATAATCTCTTCTTTTTTATGGTTTTCAAAACTGATGAATTAATATGTACTAAGGTATTAAATATTCACGTAAATCAGCCACTATACTGGTTAGCACCTAGGCTTTATGATCCCGGCAACTAAAAAAATGGGGGCGCTCTATATCCAAATCCCGGCATTCGCCTGGTTTTTTTAAAAATATTATACTTTAATTAAATTTTCAAACTCTAAACTAGTATTCAAAATTTCATCTTTTGTCATTTATTGTGCATTCATACTAATATTAACATAAGTAAAACAATAAAAGACTAGTAATATCAAAGAGCATTAAATATTTATGATTTCGAATATAAAAAAATTACAAAAGTTATAAAAAAAATATCTTTTTTTTTTACTTCATTATCCAAAATACCTTTATATGAATTGTTGCTATCGGCAATCAAGTTAGCCATAGCATTCTTATCAGATTCCATGCCTATATTTAATTTTATCTTTAATTAAATTAAAAAATTTAATTCAGTTAGAGATATCTAGAGATTAGGCCTTCACATATAGTTTCTATTGTTTTACAAATAAACTATCTTATATATAAATTAATTTAACTATTTTCATTTTCTTAACTTTGCTTTCAGTAATTATATCTCTCAGAACTACAATTAATCTTTTTTTATTATCTAAATTGAAAAACTGTATTTTTAATGTACTTTGTTCTACTCCAACTCTTCGATTGTCTCATATTTGTCTAAAATATCATCAACATCAATATTGCTTCCATTTCCATTATTTAAAGCATCCATCTTAAAATTAATATCTCTTCTTTCTTCATTTTCAAATAAATATAAAATAAATAATATAAAATAAATAATATAAAATTATAATAATTATGAGTGATATTGACATTCCATTTTTAACACAGAATTTGATTGCAATTGTAAACATAGTGAAAATATAATTTATAGTAATATAATAACCTAATAATTAAAATAGCACTCATATATAAAAATTTAATAGTCTTAATAATTTTCTAAAAGTAATATTAAATCTATATATAATATATTATAGAATTCTAAAAAATCCAACAAGAATATAGGGAAAAATTTTGTTCAGGGGGATAGCTTCTACATGAGTGGGGGGGGGCATGTAGAGGGGTGGTAGCCTAGAAATAGGATAAATTTATTAGTAGGTTATCTATTAAATTTTTAGATGAAACAAGGCAAATGTATTACTGCATAAATTAATATTATTATAGACGTATTTTAATACGATTATATTGCTAAGCATCGACCAAATCTATATATTACACACAATCATAGATATTATTTTTCAAAAGAAACTATTTCTGGATAATTTTATGCTAGGAGGTAGGCATTCCATCTCAGTAAACTCATGTTAAACAATATATTATAATAATGCATTTATTGTAAATGAGGGGGTAAATGCAAGTATAGAAAAAGAAACTCATTCACATTCACAATATTTTGATAGTTGGTATTAGAAAATTAATAATTAAAGTTATTCTTTTAAAACTTATGAAGGGAGTAACATAATAATTAAAAGGTGTAATTAATAATGTGAGAATATCACCGCCGAAAGTGGGAATTTTTTTTAGGGGGGTTATGTATATGTTCTTGAGAGGGGTGTGCATACAATAAAAATCCTGTCATGTAGACACTGCAGAGGGCTATTAGGGACATTAAAAATTTGTTCAAGAAACTATTTAAATTTTTTAGGGGGCTCGAGCCCCCCTCCCTAATGATGCCACTGTTAAGTCACTCAATAAAGCACGAAAATAGAAATATATTTTGGAATTAGAATTTCCAATACAATAGTCAAAGTTAACTGAGATGATATAAAATTTGATTATATGAGCTCCTACGCGCTTTCAATAAATATGCGCTATTTTTTAAAAATGAACGCAGAATCATATTTAGCAAGGATATAGAAAATGTTAATATTAATTTAAAATTTTTCATAACTTAGTTTGCTTTTAACGCTACTAAACTACACGCTCCTAAGCGCTTTCGATAAATATGCGCTATTCTTAAAAAATGAATGCAGTATCATATTTAGCTCATTAAAAGGATTGAGAAAATGTTAATATTAATTTTTAAATCTTTTTATAACTTTATAGACTTTTGCACTTCTTTTTTTGACTAAACTATGCATCCCTACGCGCCTATTAAAAAGGTTTTAATTTGAAAATATAAATATCTAATCCTGTTTAACTCTTCAAGGAGATTCAGATAATTATAGTATTAATTATTTTTTTTAAAAATTCTTTACTACCTATTAAAAAGTTTTAAATTTAAAAA